GCATGCAAGGCAAGCGCTCTACCACTGAGCCACCTTCCCAGCCCCTGGTGCTTGGTTTTTTATCTTTCTCGCTAAGACTCTAGGTTTCTATCTAGCTTGCAAAATTTCTATCTCAGCAGCATATTTTCAACCTCCACCTCCCCCCTCCCAGGAGTAAAGCCCTTTCTGGGTTTATTTAGCTCCTGGATTCGCGCCATAGTGATGTTCATAAGAGGGGGAAAATGGAAACTGTCCTAAGGGATCTATTTTATTAGACAGTAAAAATAAAATTATTAATATTGAAATTGTCATATTAGCCCAACAAAATACTATCACTCAGTGAAAAAGAGCTAATCACATTTCCCAGTAGAAATATTACAGTGTGATGGCTTACCTGTTTGCTTCCCAATTTCTTAAAGTATTCTTACCTCTGTCTTGCATATTGCAGCTGTTTGGCATGACTGAAGAGCTAAAGGAAATTCCAGAATTGATATAATGTTAGAATTTCTATAGTGAATGGCATTTTTCTCAGGAACACAGTAAATGAGTGTCCTGAAGTTGCATTTATAAAGTATTTCATGTTTTACTGCATATACTAAAGGAAGTGTCAATTTTGTAAGGCAACAAGATATTGTCTCTTCTCCTTTCTCAAGATTGACACATATTAGATGTGCAATAAATTCCACATCAGATGTTCCTATTTCATTTTAGTAAGGACATGTGTGTGTGTGTGTGTGTGTGTGTGTGTGTGTGTGAATTTACTTTTCAAAGCCAGGAGCTTAGACTTGCCTTCTAGTTACACTCACAGCAACGAGCACTTGTTTGGAGCTCAGATTGCATAGAAACTATTTTCTGATTTGAGAGTCAGTTAGAGCCGGAAGAAGGGTATACAGATTTCATCCTTCTTGAAATCTGAGCTGGGTGAGAACACTTTGTGGCAAATTATAAAGAATTCCATAAAGAAGGATTATTAAAGCTTTAATCAAAATAGCAATATCCATTGCCAGGACTATTCACCGAAGGTTGCACTCTGCACCCAAATCAATTTTCAGGTTCGTTTTTGTATTGTGATCAGTACTGTCGATATATAAGTTCCAGGTGCTAATAGAATTAAACCTAATTAGATGGGGCACACACGAGTTCAAGGATTATGCTATTGACTAAGGCCTTATGGGTTAATTAAATGAAACATGAACTTTTTCTAACACCAGTGAAATCAACTGAGCGTGGGTCTGGTTTTTGTGGATCCAACAAAGGCCTGGGACCTTTAAGTTGCTTTGTAGTTAAAAAAAATGCCATCGGTTATTTGACCATCACGTGATGCTGTCGGCACAGGTTGCACTTCCAAGATCCACACTCTCAATGGTACAAGCCAGATTCCCTTTCCTGGAAGTCAGTGTGCAGTCTTGGTAAATAGCTGAGGAGGTGGGTGGGGGGGAAGCAATGCAGTTTCTCTGCTCTAATGTTTCAGTAATTGTAGGAAATGCTGAAAGAGGGGGAGTAGCCTCTGAGGGAGTACATGAGGAAGTCTGAAGTACATAGCTCGTAAGGATAGAAGCAAAGGGAAAATGATGACCCTTCCACTTAATAGACACATTCTGGCTGAGCACTTACTGGATGTAAGATGGGGTACGAATGAGACACAGACTTTGCCCAGGGAAGGCATACTTCTGCCCTGATCCTTATGTCCCTGGTGAATGTCATAGGAAAGGCGTTTACAGAATCAGCTCCCGTGGTGGTGGAAGGAATCGAACACACACAGAATGGCTCTGGTTCTCCACAGAGAGCTAGCGTGCTGACTCCCGAAGGGCGGGAAGAAATCTGGGGGGGGGGGAGGGGAACATGTTCCAGGAACATCATGTAAACAAGCTTAGAGGCAGGAAAACATGGCGTACTCTGCAAGCGCCAGGAAATAGCTCCGCATAGATGCGAGGTTGGGTAGAGAGGTCCCTAATACGATTAAAACACTACTTGCAATAGGCCAGCCAGGAGCTGATCTGAGAGCTGGGAAAATGGGAGCGACATGGGTAGATAGGATTTGGAGATGGGCCTTCGGGATTGGCCAGGGATAGGATGGGAAGAGGGACAGCAGGAAAGTGCGCGCACCTGGGTGAGAAGTCTGCAGGAGGGCGCTGCTGGTTCGGGAATGAGGAATGTGGAAAGGCAGAATTCAACGTTCAGCACAACCAGTTTGTGATTCCTGTGGCCTGTCCCAGGGAAAGTACCCAGTGGGTGGCAGCTGGAAATAGAAGGTTGGAGATGAGAGATGACGTCGAAGTAGAGATGTGGAAATTATCCAGGTAGGGTTCACATTCTGCACTGAGGGGAATGAATGCATCCAGGCTGAGAGTGACAGAAAAGAGCGGCTCAGCTGAATTCTGAGGAATACCAACACTTCATATTGCTAGAGAGGTACAGCTTCAAAAGGGGGACTTACAAGGAGCAGCCAGTTTAAAGAGGAACCAAAACAAGGTGATTTTATTGAACAGATTAAACAGACAAACACAAAGAAGCCAGAACCATATTAAATAAATTACTACTGCTGGTAAAATACATTACGACTGACTTTTTTCTGTTAGAAAATTACATTAAGAGAGTGTCAGTTGGGACTTAAAGAGCCACAAAGCAATAGTTGGAACAGAGTGAGAATGAAGTTCCTGGAGGTACAAAATAGGACAAAGCAAGAAAATGAGTGAGGAGAAGGGAGCTGACATTTTTCCGTCTGTTGCTACTTGTCTGGCTTCTGTCCACACTTGTCACCTAGGACAGTGAGTGACATGCTCTGGGCATTGCTCACCTGCAGCCGGACTCCAGTAGATCACCTCCTGACCACTATTCTATTCCACCACGAACACAATATATTCCCAGTTAAAAACATTATTGGATAAATAAAAGGCACAATCAGGGAAAGCTGTAATTCATGGAATTAGACTTGACTTTAGTGGTAAAAGACTACCTCCCTGGAACTCGTGTGTGTGTGTGTGTGTGTGTGTGTGTGTGTGTGTGTGTATGAGAGAGAGAGAGACAGAGACAGAGAGAGACAGAGAGAGACAGAGAGGGGAGGGCATGGGGAGAGAGAGATTACTGGGAGTTGAACTCAGGGACTCATACTCTTGCTTGGCTTTTTACCACTGAAGTCACACCTTCATTTCTAGTTTTTTTGTTTTGTTTTATTATTGTTGTTGGCTTCTTGGAGATAAGAGTTTCTCGGATTTTTCTGCCCAAGCTGGCTTCAAACAAGGATCCTCCGATCATAGCCTCTTGAGTAGTTTGGCGACTCTCCAGTATTTTATTTCTGGCATCTGGGCAGTAGGTAAGGACAATGGGCTGGATTCAGAGCTTTCCACCTAGTAGCGGGGTGGGAAGAAGGGTTCAGGCAGAGGAGCATGCCTGGAGACACTCTGCTAAGGACAGCATGGTGGCTGGAGGGCCTGGGATGAAGCTCAGAGCACAGTTTGAGAGCAGTGTGACCTAAGCCAGGTCAGAGCCATTGGGCAGAGTTGGATGGTGAGGGTCTCAGGGCCCTAAGGTTGGAAGCTGTGGGTTTTGAGTAAGTGAGGTTAATTTACAGCCTATTGCTTCTTCAGCTCCTCAGTTGGGTTGGCAGCTATTACAATAACCTGATCAGACAGTTATTTAACCAGACATTCTCAGTGCTCAGTAATTTCGACTGGTCAAGCTCCCCTAACAGCTTTGTTGTCATCACATTTGCTGGGAGCAAATAACTTGTTCTTCCAGGTGGATCAGCATCCATCTCAGCTCATCTTTTCCAGTTGACACTCAGTTCTTTAAAGGCCTCCATACGTATCTACCACCCAGTGAGTTAGAAAGTGCAGGAGGAACAGAATTAGATGCTATCGGATTCACAGGTTTCCCTTGGACCTTACCATGAGCTCCAAATTCCAGGGATAAAGATTGCTTCTGTTTCTCAGAAGTCAGTGTCCCTGATGGTACATGCCCCCCCTCTGCCCCCGCACACCCCTGAGTGGGGACCCTGGTGAAGAATCCTGGCTCCTTACCTGGCAATGGCAGCTGCAATCCTCCGAGTGTTCTGAGAGGGGTAAGATGGCATTCGCCTTGTCGGATGATGAGAATCTAAAGACAGGACACAATTCAGTCAGGTTACGCTTGGAAAGGACTGTGGACCACTAGAAACCCACTGTAATGGCTATTCATCCAAATAATCAATCTCTGGTTAGAAACTATTTTTCAAGGCTTGGAAGGTGGCTCAGTGGTAGAGTGCTTGCCTAGCATGCTTGAAGCCCTGGGTTCAATTCCTCAGTGCCACATACACAGAAAAGTCCAGAAGTGGCACTGTGGCTCAAGTGGTAGCATGCTAGCCTTGAGCAAAAGAAGCTCAGGGACAGTGCCCAGGTCCTGACTTCAAGCCCCATGACTGGCAAAAAAAGAAAGAAAGAAACTGTTTTCCACCAACTTTCTTAGTTCTGGGGACATCCTCTGCGAAGACCATGCTATGCAAGCTTGCACCAACTGTGTACAGTGTGGAACATGCATTGTCGAATTTCTCAGATACATAAACCACCACAGTAGAAGGGATTTTAAGGGTTATTCTATACTGGCTATATTCCCATCCATCCATCCATCCATCCATTCATCCATCCATCCATCCATCCATCCATCCATCCATCCACCCATCCACCCATCCATTCATCCATCCATCCATCCATCCATCCATCCACCCATCCACCCATCCATTCATCCATATCATCTCATTGACCACCTTCAATGGGACAGGGACTCGGTCGAAATCTGGAGTTAGACAAGAGAAGACAGATGTGTTTTTTTTTACATTCCAGTGGAAAGAGATGGCAAATAAGCATGCACACAGACCAATATGAATATTTCAGAGAGCACAGAAGGTGTGGAGAAAAAAGAAAGTTCTGCTTTAGGATACAGGGTTGAGTGCATGTGTAGCTGTTTAGGCCTGAGGACTTTTGAAGTGACTCTGAGGCCCTAGGCCTGTCTGGCTCTGTTAGCACACCTATTCATATATGCAAGGCTTCAGAACCATCTTTTTACATAGTAACTAGCATAACAAACTTAGTGGCAGAACTTATTCTAACAGCATTGGGGTAAAAAGAATGTAAACCATTTACCTTCATCCACTCCAATGACCTATATTAAATGAAGACAAAATAATGGTGAATGACTTTGGATGATAGGGAATTTAATATAATACTATGTGGTTTTGGAGCACTTGGTTGTTAGAATTAGGGAAAATATTTTGTTAGTGTAAATATTGTTCTAACAATGTCTAAAGCACCTAACAAATCAAAATTGTATACTCTTCCTACAATGTAACAGACAAGCAGGATGTCTGTTTGTGCATGATGGATTGTTCTCATTCAGAGGACAATTAATCCATAGTTATCAAGAGCTTAGAAATATGATGATCCTTCTCTATTAATTGCCTTGATGATAATCTTGTTCTAAGAACCACCCCCAAATTTGGTGCAAGCTCTATGTATAAGGTTGTTCAGTGTATCATTCTTAAAGTTTCAAATCACTAGACACAAACTATATTCCCAGATAAGTGATAATAGTTAATTTTGGTGCTATACTCATTTACTGGGATATTATGAGGCATTATAAATATGTATAGACGCCAGGAACAGCTGGCTCACATCTATAATCCTACCTACTCAGGAGGCTGAGAGTGGAGGATTGTATGGCAGCCCAGGTAGAAAAGCCACCATGGGATTCATCTCCAATTAACCACACAAAAACCGGAAGTGGTGCTGTGGCTCAAGTGGTAGAGCACTAGACTTGAGCACAAAGAGGCTCAGAACAGTGCTGAGTTCAAGCCATACAACTGACTAAATAAATAAATAAATATAGAGAGTGGAATAAGATTATACTATATGTATGCCTCAAGATAGACATTATAAAGGACCACAATAATGGCCCTATAGCTGAGTGCCAGTGATCCTCGCTGCTGAGGAGACCAAGACTAGAGGACCAAGACTCAAAGCCAGCCCAGGCAGAAAAGTCCAAGAGACTCTATTTCTAATCAACAAAAAGTCAGGCTAGAGACATTGTTCAAATGGTACAGCGTCAACCGTGATCAAGCAAGTTGAACAGGTTCCAGGCCCCATTACCAATACCAGTATACCAGCAAAAACATACATACAAAAGTTGCCTTATGATACAGTTCTATGCCACAGAGTCAACACACACACTGTTTTTGTTGGATGAGGTCACATATTTTCACAGGTGTCTGAAGTCTAAGAAACAATAAAAATCACTGATGTACAGAAGAGATCTGGAGAGGCGGGCCATTTACTGAGGTTCCTAAGATATCATGCAGCTAAGGTGACCTTGAGCCAAGGTCTTTTGCTTCATAGATAAGAAACCTCTAGTCTTGTCTGAAACTAGCCAACAGACAGGCTCCTTTGTTTGAAGGAACTTGGCGTCCCTTAGGGTTCCATTTCATGACTGATAGAAAGCAAAGTAAGTCTAGGGATTAAACCGAAAAGGCTGTGAATCCATTCGAATGAGTGATTTCTAGTCTCCCCACTGAGTCTTCCTGGGGACTTTGAACCTGAGTTCAAAGAGCTCAATCAGATGCACCTGAGATCTCAGGGGCCTCAAAGGAGAGGGAAGGTGGCCCATAAATACTGCCAGCCTGCAGCGAGGGGGGCCGTCCTTTTAGTACATCAAAACCCAGCTGAGCTTTTGCTTGAGGGCTCTGAACTTGAAAAATCATGTGTAACTAGAATAGTAGAGTGAAATCTCTCTAGGTTTTCTACTTTAACATGCTTTTTTTCTGTTAGAAAATAAACAGTAATGGTAATGGCTTATTACCTCTCTCTGTCTCCCTTTCATCTTCCACACCTCATCCCTTCTTTTTTTCTCTCCTTTCCTCCCTTCTTCCCTTTCTTCCTTCTCCTGCTTTCCCCCTCCCTGTCTTCCTTTAAAAAATATTTTCAGCCAGGCTGTCTCTGTTTTGGTTGTTTGTTTTTGTCATTTTATTGTTTTGCTGGTCCTGGCACTTGAACTCAGAGCCTGGCCATGGTCCCTGAGCTTCTTTTGTTCATGGCTAGTGTTTTACCACTTGCGCCACAGTTCTACTGTCTATTTGGTAGTTTATTGGAGATAAGAGTGTCACAGACTTCCCTGTTGGGCTGGCTTTGATCCGTGATCCTCAGATCTCAGCCTTCCGAGTTGTAAGGATTATACAGGCATGAGCCTCTGGCTCATTTTTTTTTTTTTTAACAGAGTCATGGCTGTGGGGAGAGGACTGGACTGGGGGATTTCAGGACTGGCCCTGTCTTCTGCCAGTGGGAAGCCTAGAAGTTTTCTAGCTATCCAGGGCCTCGCTTTACTGCTAGGGCTTGGTAAGGATAAACGGAGTATACAATTCTCCACATTGGGAGCTGGATAGTGCCATGTGGACTGATCTGAGGCTGGTAACTCATTGTTTGTGTTGAAATAGACTCAATAAACACTCAATGTTCAGGTGTGGCATTCACCCTTCTCTAAGGGCCAAGAAATGTCACTTTGTCTAATTTGTGGCAGAGGAAGCAGAGCTCTGGGTGGGTGGCGGTGCTTGCTGAAGTTCACAATGACTAGTGGGTCCTTGTGATTTACACCCAGATCTTGGTGACACTGCCTTCCTCTTACTACTTTGCAGCCTTGTCTTTTTTTGAGAACAAAGCAAAGGTGCAGTGCCGTTTCTAGCATTTTACTTTGGCAAGGCTGGTGTTTGGAAGCATGGAGAGGGGGCAGGAACTGAGCAATGACCCATGGACCTGGCTTCCTCCTAACTGAGCCAGTCAACAAGGAATGGACAGGTGGTAGAGTGGCATGTCGGTTGAAAATCTGAGTCTTCTTTTACTTTAGTTTTTCTCTTGAGATGCATGTTGAATAGGACTACTGTGAGAATAAAATATGACAAAGGAAAGTAAATAGATCCTGTTCATTGTAGCTACTTAAGGTACAAAGATGACCTCCCACCCATCTTAAAAATCCAAGACAAAATAGTTACTTACTTTACTCAAGTCTTTCAGGCTTATCTGCCTGCAAGAAAAGGAAATCTTGTGTTAAATAAAACACAATTATTAATGACCGAGATAAAACCACTCTGAACCCTTTATAAACCTTTGATTACGTTTTCATTGCCAAATTAACAGCCCGTAGTCCACTGTGATATTTATCACTGTGTTATAAAATGAAAGCAGCTTGTTTTTTTCTCATAATTTTCTAAAGAAAGGAAGAAGTTGTAAGTTAACATAAAAAGTGGTGATAGGAAAGGCATGAACACCCTTGCTTCTAATTTAGGGGAATTTAAATAATGTCATCCTTCCTCAGACTTGACTTCCAAAGTCAGGCTTTCATTAGCACAGTCAGACTTATTATGAATTTGACTTTAAATCTCCCAGGTTTTTGCTTGGAGAAAATGCAGAGTTTAAAATATAAAATATCAGGTGGGATCTCACCAGGCCATGCACAAGAGAAAGGATGTAGGTAACAAAAGGGAAACGAAATGGAACAAAATCCACCAAACAGAATGGCAATATATCGACAAGTCAGTTAACTCCTCTAAGTCTCCTTTTCCTCATGTGTAGAACAGCAACAAAAATATTTGCCTAGGGGGAATGGTTGCAAGAATTGGGAGAGATGGAAATGAAAGTGGCTAGCATTCAGTGGACTTGGTCCTTAGAATGTGTCTGGGGTCTGGTGAGAAAGCAAAGGAGGAGGTAGCTTAAGCATGTGGGCGTGTCACTGAAAGGACTGGAGGATGCTGGGAAGTCAGTGATGCCCCTATCAGGGAAAGGCTGTCCACGTGGAGCCTGTGAATGCATTGACACCAGGGAAGCTGACCCCAGGCTCACGCTGCTCAGGTGATACTGCATCCCAGTCTTAGCCCTCCAGGCAGTAGGCAACCATCCCAAGAACCCACTGTAGGTAATGTCCATCACCCATCTCGATACTGGCTACTTTGCATCCTTCCCTTTAAGCTGGGCTTGCAGAAGGTAAAGAGATATAATTAGAGGTAATGAAGTAGAACAAACACCCATATTATTGATTGTCTTGCCCTTAAACAGAGACTAAGCTCAGGGTTTTTAATGTTT